TCCCAGTCCCCGGGGAGCTCGGCTGGCGGTTCCCAGCACGAGGAGGGTCACCGTCCTCCACGCCCTCCCTGGCCGGCCCGCGGTCCCTCACCTTCGAAGAAGCGCTGCAGCGCCTCGGTCTCGTCCACCACCTCCATGGCCGGCCTGCCCGGCGCGCGCTCGGCCGCGGCCCCGCTACAGCCCGGCCCGGGGGCGCGGCATCGCCGGCGCGGCCCGCGCGACAGTCCCGGCTCAGCTCCGGCCACGGTCCCGCCCGGCCCGCAGCCGCGCTCGCCCCTCGCGCGGCCCTGGCCCGGCCCCCGCCCGCCCCCCGCCCCTCAACAACCCGCGCCCCGCCCGCCGCGCCCAGCGCCCCCTGGCGGCCAGGCCGGCGCCGCGGCCCCCGGAGGGCAGGACACGCGCGGCTCCCCCAGGCGGCACTGGGCGCGGGGTGACTTCCCCAGCCGGGGTAGGGGTCCGCGGCCGCGCCCCCACCCCGCAGTCCTCGCCCTCCCCTTGGGCACGGGAGGGTAGCAGGCTTCTGACTCTTAGCTTCTCAGAAGACGCCCGTGATTTCCTCCCCTGGCCCCCGACCCCACACATCTGGTGAGCAGACCGCTGGCAGGTCTCCCACCCAGGACATACTATTGCGTGCATTTTGCCGACGAGGAAACGGGCTCGGGCTCAGGAATGAGCAGTCCTGTGCTGCCCGGTAGGACTCTGCCTGATGATGGGAATGTTTCTCTGGGTGACTGGCTGATCCAGTAGGGCCGCACTAGCCGCATGTGGTGATCGAGCACTTGAAATGTGGCTGGTAAGACGGAGGAACTGGCTTTTCAATTGTATTTAATTTTCAGTAGCTCAAGAGTAAATAGCCATGGGCAGCTACGGTGTTGGACTTGGACGGCATGGCTCTGAGGCTTTCAAGCGTGCATTCGGAGCCAGATCTTGGCCAAACCTGGAAAGACAGCCTCTTGGTCACGGTTTCCCTGTGTGGTAGTGGGAGACCCACAGGTTCTACCTCCTATCCTAGTGTGCCCAGGATAAACCCACCATCCCCTGCCCATCTGTCCCCACCTCTGGAGCGCCTCCTCATATCTGTTTGGCCCTTCTGCACCGCCTCTGTCCTCAGTGATGGCCTCTAGAACCTCCCAAATCACTCTTTAAAAAAAAAAAAAAGATTTTATTTATTTGAGAGAGAGAGCACGAGCTGAAGAAAGAGACAGAAGGAAAGGGAGAAGCATACTCCCCTCTGAGCAGGGAGCCCAATGTGGGGCTCGATCCCAGACCCTGAGATCATGACCTGAGCTGAAGGCGGATACTTAACCAGCTGTCACTCAGACACCCCCCAAATCACTCTTTTTTAAAATGTCAATCAGATCACGTCATTCCTTTGCTAAAACCAGTAATTTCCTGTCGTGTTCAAAACAATATTTAAACCTCTTGTCCTGGTTTCTGAGGCCTTTTATGCTCTGCCCCTGCCCTAACGCACCACTGGCCTCAGCTCCTCCTTTTCTCTCCATTGCTAAGTCACAGCCCCCAAGGCCTCCCTGCCCTCACTCAAACATGCCAGATGCACATCTGCCACATGCTGTTCCATCTGTCTACAACGCTTGTCCCTGCATGACTGGCTCCTTCTCACTCATCACCTCTCTGAAGCAATTCCCCCTAAATGCCCTTTTTTCTCACCACATAAAAGATTTTTACTCAGTTCTTGTGATTATCCTTCTGGCTTTAGATTGGAAGCTCTGGGAGGGTAAGAGGTTTTTGGGGCTTGGTCATTGCCATGGCTTCAACACCACGACCACCAGCTGGAACGCAGTTCATTCTAAGTAAATACACATGAAAGGAACAGACAATGGCGTCTTCACACCGCAGAATCCTAGATCTCTGAAACTTTGGAAGCAGAGAATTCTGGAATCTCGGTCCCAGTGAATCATCTCACTGCGGAGTGGTGCTGCTACAGCCTCCCAGGATCCTCGGATAAGCAAGTCAGAGCTGGAAAACTGATCCCACCCGACCACTGTTTGACAGACGACAGGGCTAGGACTGAAACCGCAAGGCCCAGAGGGGCTGGAGGACCCCCAGCTGACCGAGATAGCAGCCCTGGCAGGCAGGAGGGGGCCACACTGCCCAGCCAGTACCCCCCACCCCAGAGGAGCATGGGGGTCAAGCCGGGCTGCTCAGTGGGCACGGGGATGAGAGCCTGTGAAGCTGCTCCCACCCAGGCAGCCCTCCCCTTCCTCAGTGGCCAGCCCTGGGGGAGGGGCGGCCGGTGCCTGAGCCCCAGATGTGGCCCAGTCAGCAGGCCGGTGGTGGCCCACTGAGGAGGGTCAATGCCACAACAGTTCTGGGGCTGGGGGAGGGGGCGCCCAGGCCGGCGGGCGCCTCACAATGAGGTTCTGTCCCTCCAGGGGCCGCTCTCTGAGCTGTTGCTCCTCCATATATAGAATGGGATTTTGCTGGAGGCCCCAGCTGTGTGTGCTGACGGTTCCCCCCCGCAGGGGCCGGGTCGAGAAGGGGGGAGAGGGCCACACTGAGACGCCTATTCTTTTCCCGCTGATACATCCCAGAGGTTTTTTCGCCCTCCGCAGCCTCCCTTAAGACAATTGTTATTCTCTGCTCTGCCCCCTCCCCCACCCGGTCAGGCCTGCCAGTGGACAAAGTAGACACCCGCCTACGCCATGTGATTTTTTTTTTTTAATGAATTTATTTTAGGAGTTGCCCGGAACCAGCTGGAAAACGAGCTCCTTTATAAGCCTTCACCTACCCACAGGTCTTTCCACCATGGTTCCACACGGTGCTGAAATGCCCACCATTTGAGGGCCATGGTGGTGAGCGAAGCATTGCCCCTGTGTGGATCATCAAAGGAGTGGGACATGCATATTTTGTCCCCAACACCCCAACTCCTCAAGTTGGATCATTAGGCCTCTGGGGTGGCCTTGAACTCGGATGGGGTGGGACAGAGCTTCCTGTTCATCCGGTGGGAGCTGGCCTGGCTAAGGGTGTTCTGGCCCTACCATCTCCCCTGATTCCACTAGGCCACTGAGCAAAGGAGGGACTCCCCCAGGGAGTCTGGGTTGGGGGAGAGGAGTGGCTAAAGTCCCAGACTCTGGGCCTCAGCCAGAAGCTGAGGTTGCCACCCTCAAAGTCCCGCAGGAAGACTGTCTGGGACAGGGCGGCAGCTAGGGCTGGTAAGGGAGCCTAAGGGAACTGTGCATAACCAGGACTTTGAGAGAGCCATCCACAGAGAGGAGCCCCACCTACACCCTGTCCCCACCAAGCCATAAGGAGTGAACAACTAAGACTTCCTTCCTGGCCGGGCAGCGGCAGCTGTCCTGAGGTCATCTCAGCCATCCTCCAGGGCCTGCCTCTGTAAGTCAGCCTATTAATCCTGCTTCTCCGAGAAGGTAAAATAGCAGGGAAGTGGTCAGTAAGTGCTGCTCTTCTATCCCAGGACAGTTCCTGGCACTCAGCAGGGCCAGCAGGAGGCAGCACTGGGGAGAGGGAGGCAGGGACAGAGGGTAACTGGAGGCACAGAGTACCCGGCTGGAGGCCAGGCCAGGAGAGGGTGGGGTTCATCAGCTAGCCGGATGGCCAGGCCTCCCTATTGTGGGATCCCTGACCCCCCATGGGCTCCTATAGCCCTGGCACCTGCCCCTTTTGCAGAGGAAGGGAGGAAGGCCCATGGGGTGCTGAGTGGGAACCCAGTGGCTGTGAGGCGGGACGGGGGCGGGGGGGGCAGGGTGCTGCTTCCCTGGACCTGGGTGAGAGGGCTGGGGGGTAGCCCTGCAGGATAAGCCCCCTCCCACCTCCCTCCCAGCTGAGGTGGACAGGCCCATCCACAGGGCCGGCGTGGGGTTGGGAGGCACAGCGCTGCTCCAGCCCTTCCCAGAATTGCCCTCGTGAGAGCCTTTTCCCACACATTCTGTGTGACCTTGGGCAAGTCACAACCTCTCTGGCCCTTGCTTTCTTCAGCTTCCGATCCACGAATTGGACAGGACAGTTTGCAAACTTGGTGAGACTGAGTTTCTGAGGAAGAACCTCGGAAAACCATCAGGCGAGGGTGGAGGCCGGGGTCTTCAGCCAGGCAGCCCGGATTCTAGTCCTGCAGCTGTCCCCACAGCCTGAGTCACCTTAAGCTGGTCTTTGGCCTCTTTGAGCCTCTTCTGTTCAAAGAGGCTGGGGATGAAGCCAGGCACGGTTCTGTCGCCTTCCCCTTGCCACCAAGTAGGGTCCCTCGGGACTCTCGAGGGGTAAGAGGGTGGGCAGTGCGAGGAAGGGGAAGGCCAAGGTCAGGTCAAAACTCGGCTGGCTCAGGGTCTGGGCCCGCCGCGGCCTCTCCCGGGGCTGGAGGAACAGCGCCACCAGCTGTATGAAGGGGGCGGGCGGCCCGGACTGTGGGCGGGAGGCCCCGAAGCTCCCCGCCCACCCAAGGCCTGCAGCAGCCCCCTGGGCCTCACTGTCCTGGAGCCTGCACGCGCTGCACAGGCCCGAGTGGGCCTGGTCGACCCTTGTGCGCCCTGCTAAAGAAGCACTCAGCAAAGGTTTCCAGTGGCCCCCGCCTTTCAGCGCTACCCGGCTGGGGGTGTTAGGGCAGTCCTTGCTCCTCTGCTCTGGTTCTCGGTATTGCGGGGGAAGGGTGGAAACTGTCAGATCAGCGCCCCACATGCTGGCTCTGCGGTCTCGGGCAGCTTACTTGCCCTCTCTGTGCCCCAGACCCCTCAGGGAAGAGAAAGGGACTAACAAGTCCCATCTTTCAAGGCCATGATGGGGCCATGAACGTGGATCTCCCGGTACACCTTCCACATGGGCAAGGCTCAACAAGGGCCTGCCCCCATTTGTGTGGGGCTCTGAGGGCCTTCTGGTTCTTCACGGCGGCTCAGAGTGTGGTCCTAGACCAGGGCATCGACAGCAGCACGAGCCGGTCTCAGGGGGCCCCTCCCACCCCTGAGCTCAGCAGCAGGCCCCCCAACCCGTGCCCCCTGAGCTGGGAAGAGAGGTCACTCGAGGCAGCCAGCGTGCTTCTACACGCAGTTTATACACAGCTCTATACAATATACAGAAACCTTTATATACAGATATATTTATAGAATAAGCTATATTAATTTGTCTCTCCTTTTTACAGCAATATTAGTGTGGATCTTTCATACAGTAAGTACAAAAAGTTGCGGGAGAACGGCACGGATAGTGCCTGAGTGTCTGGGGCCCAGTTGCTCGCTACCGATTGCATATGGAGGTCACGAAGACCCCGGGGAGAACAGGCCAGCTCACGGCTGGGAGTTTGTGCTGCGTTCTGGGAGCAGACTGGGGGGTGGGGGTCTGAGCCACCCTAGGCTCAGAGGCCCCCAAGTGTGGCATGGGGAGGAAGGGAGAGGGGCGCAGCAGGCCCATTCTTTCAGGGGGTGTGGCGGGGAGGGGGCAGGTTCCGGGTGGGCTGACCCTGCGGCATCCAGGGCTGAGTCCAAGCCTGCCCCAGCCCCAGGTCTGGAACCATGTGTGGCTGCAGCCGTGGGGGTGGGGAGTCTGTCCCTGATGGCTCAGTCCTGGGTATGGGCGGCTACCACGCCCCCTTAGAGGTCCCGGGGGCCACCCTGGCAGAGGAGGAATTAAAAGGCCAGACACCAAGTCTGTCCCTGCAATTGGCTGAGGTGCTTGTTGGAACTTTACTCTGATTTACGATTTGTTTTTTTCTAAACTCTAAGAGCCACTGATTCCATCCTGCTTCTGCTGGGCCCAAGCTCTGCTGGCAGCGGGCCCCTCAGCAGGGGCATCCTGGAGTCTTGTGAACGGGGGTGTCAGAGAGGGAGGGAGGCCCAGCTCCCCGGACTCTGGCTCCATCTGTTACGGTGGGGAGGGGGTCCCAGAGCAGCATCCAGGCCAGTCCCAGCTCTGTGGGATGGAGGTCAGGACACAGGCCCCCGATACCAGTGATCATGAGATTGGGGGGTGTGTGTGGATCTTGGTCAGGGGAGTCTAGCAGCTCCAGAGAGGCTATGGGGTGGGGCAGCATGGGGGAGTCTGCCTCCGGGGAGACGAAGGCACAAGCAGGCGGTCAGCGCCGGGGCACACACCAGTTTTCCAAACCCGGGGTCCAAGAAGCAGGTGGGACACGGGGGATGGCAACATATGAAACTGAGCTCGTCCTGTGCATCCCCCCCCTCCCCCACCACCGCCCAGGCCCCCATCCTAGTCTATGTTCTTGGTGGGCTGGGAGGGGCAGCAAGCAGGTGGGGTGGGAGCCCCCGCGGCCCCCTCCTCAGGAGCAGTTCACATGCACATGCACACACACATGGCCCCCGCCAGCATGCACCACCTCCCCCTTGCGTCCCCAGCCCAGCAGGAGGCCTCCAGATAAGGGGGGGGAAAGCCCTGGAGCCCCTGGCCCTCCTGCTCCCCCTTTAGCTAGATCCTGAAATACCCTCCTCTTGGTTCCACTTCCTGCCAACAGGACGGATGTGGAGGGTTGGGGGGAAGAGACCTCCACTGGGGGAGCACTCAGGCCAGTGAGGAGGGGGAACTGAGGGGAGCGGGGACATGTCTGGCTTCAGACCCCAGGGCCTGAGGCTGCCTAGGTGTGGGGGCGAGGTGATACAGAGGGGTTACATGGGGCCCTCAAAGGAAGGGGGACTTGGGTGTCCTCCTTCTGCCCAGGGCACTGACTCTGAAGCCAGCGGTGGTCATGCCTGTGCCTTCTGCCCTTTGAGCGGCCAGGACCCCTGGGGTAGAAGGCAAGACAGGAAGTAATGGGCAGGTGGGGCAGGCCCGGGTGCCCAGGACCCACTGCCAGAGGGATCGGCATGAGGGGCACCAAGCAGAAAAGGGGTAGTCTTGACCCCACCCTCCTCCAGGCCCCTCCAGGCCTGGTGGCTGCCTTGGGCTCCGTGGGGATGGGCCCCCTCCCCTCCCTGCTCAGAACCCATGATAGGGTAGGGGTGGGGGGGGCACTTGCAAGCCCAGGAAACCTCCTGATTCCGGCCCAGCAACATCTGTAAACATACACAGCACTGCGGGCCACCTTGGCGTGAGGTCACCCCAGGGGGCTGGCCAGCAGGCACCAGATCTGGGGGGTGGCCAGGGCGGACACCAGCCTGGACCACAGATATGAGGATGTGGGGAGAGGGCTGCTCTCCATCTTGGCCCTGGGAGTGCAGCCAGAGGGCAGTGATGGGGAGTCGGCATGCCCACTCCTTGTCCTGTGGGGGACAGGCAGGTTGAGAGGGCCGAGGGCTGCCCAGCCCACCCAGCAGGCCACCCCAGGCTCCTCCCTGCTTCACATCCCTCCCCCATCTAAAGGACCCTTATCCCGGACGCCGGGTGGTCCTAAGCTGAGGTAGGGCTGCAGACCCCCAGCTCAGCAGCAGCGCCCAGTGCCTGAAGCTAAACTGGCCCGTGGAGGGGGGGGCTCTCCTCAAAGCGACCTGGCCCTGGGGGCAGCCACCAGGAGCCTGAGGGGCCCCCTGCTCAGCCCGGGGTCTCAGCCGGCAGCCACGCCGGGGGTGCTAGCGCGCCGAGATGACCAGGTCGTCCTGCTTGGCGGGGCTGGCCCCGTGGCTGGTGGGGGTTGAAGTCCGGATCTTGTCCATGGCCAGGCACTCCTGGCTGCTGAGCCCTGTGGGCGTCAAGTCCATGAGCTCGCCAGAGGAGCTGAGCGGGAAGGAGGGTGAGAGTGAGATGCCTGAGGAGGGATCTGCGGAGCCAGCGAAGAGCCTCGGGGGGCTTGGGCACCAGGTTGGGCTCAAACTGGGCACGGAGCAGGATCTCTTGCTGGCTGGGGGACTTGGGGCCCTCGGCATAGTCGCTGGTGGGGCTCTCAGGCACCACCATGCAGTAGAGGTCCTGGAAGGAGCTGCTCTTACTGTCGAGGTTGAAGAGGCTGTCGATGAACTCAGCGAACTCCAGCACCTGAGGGCTGGGCGAGTCCCCTAGGCGCCCGTTGTGCAGGGCTAGCTCTCCCCCGGGGGCCGCCCCTCCGCCGCCGCCGCCGCCCCCCTCCTCCTCGTCCTCATTGGCCGCTGCGCTGGGAGGCCGCTCCGGGGTGACGCCCCCGCTGCCCAGGGCCGCCTCCAGGGGCTGCGTGTCCTGGGAGTGCTTGGACAGGCTGTCGGCCGCCAGCAGCTCGGTGCGCGAGCTCAGGGACGGGTTCTCCTCCGGGATGGCGGGGTCGATGTAGAAGAGGTGACCCTCGTCGCGCTCCAGCACGGCATGGAGGCTGGGCGAGCCGCGGATGCTGCGGAAGCCAGACGAGCGGCGGGAGTCGAAGCTGTACAGGGACTCGGTGTCCGACAGGCTCTCCATGGTGGCCAGGGGCGCCCGCCGGGCCTGCAGCTCCGCCGCCAGCCGCTCCTGGGTGGACAGCAGCAGCAGCTCCACGGGGTCCTGGCGGGCCGCCGCCGCCGGCGCCACTGGGGACAGCAGCCGCCCCTCTGAAAAGCCCTCCAGGCTCATCTCGGACTGGGACTTGCTCCTACGGAGGGCAGGGCCAGGCTGTGACACTCAGGAGGGGCAGAGACCCCAGGGAGTTGGGGGAGCCCTCCCACTCCCGGGCTGCAGGGAGCTTGGGGAAGGGAGGAGGTTAATTTATCAGTTGTTCAACAGTGTGATGCTTGTTTTAAAAAACAGCTCACAAGAGCCCGAGACAGAAGGCAAAAGGGCTGATGCTGGGGGTGGGGGCACTGAAGGCCTAAGGCCCCGCTGAGAGCCCTAGAGCTCCGGAGGGCTGCTGCGACACTGCGCTCACGGGAGCCTGGGGCCCAGACTGGCTGCCTCAGGTCACTACCAGGTGTTGGTGGAAGGGGAGAGAGAGGAAGGGGGAGAGGGGGAGGGAGAAAGGGAGAAAGCACTGCCTAGAGCTGCCCCCACTGGTTCTCACACCCTTAGGGCCAGTGCCCCTTGATGTGTCTTGGAGCGGGCACGGGTGGCCCAGATCGCTTCCTTACATGGACGTTCCTCCTGCCTCTGCCGTGGGTTAGTGCCCTCTGCTGGACGGACAGGGAAGTGAAGGGGGCGGGGGCAGGGGAGGGGAATGCCACACCTCCGAGCAGACATGGTCAAGCCGCGGCCACAGGAAATATACAAATGGTAGCGAGAGACGTCCAGGTGTCCCCACCAAGGGCCTGGAGGTGGCGACCACCCTTTGGAGCAGCCTCCCAGCCATATCTGTGACCTGGCCTGGAAAGGTCCCCGCGGGGCGTGGGCCAGAAGATTCCCAACCTCAGAGCCAGCCCCATCAGAGCACATGCAGGGCCCGGTGTTACGTGTGTAGCGTGCAGGTGTCTGTCTGTGTCTGTGTGGCTCAGTCTGGGCACAGGTGCAGTCCCGTGCTCGCGTGCATGGCTGCCCACCCTAGCGGCCCTTTGGTCTGTGTAGCTCGGCCTCTACTTGTATGTCCTCTACACGAGCATGTGTGTATGGGGCTCCGTGTGCTCAGAGCTACGGTTTCTGAACATGTATGTGTATGCAGGTGTGAGCATCACCACGAACACACCTCTGTGCGTATGTGTAAGTCCACGGGTGTCCACCTGTGTGGGCTGGATGGCTGTGAGTGTGTCTGTGTGCTGTGGCCCCAGCTCTGTGCATCCCCAGGCAACCACACTCCCCTGGGGGCTTCAGTGATGGCAAGTAGGGGGCCGTGGGAGCAGCCCAGGGGCTCCTGAGCCGAGGGTGAAGTTCAACCTTCCTGCGCCTGTGTGCAGAGCTTCGTAGACACCTGTCGGCCCAGGGCAGGTGCGGGATCCACATGTGCACAAGCTTTTGTGCCCTGGACACCCCTGGGACGTGTGTACCCTCGGGGCGGGCTGGGGCGGCGCAGGCAGGACTCACCTGACGCTGTTTGGGTGGTCTGCGGCCGGCGGCTCCAGGGCAAGGCCAGCAGGCATGGGCGGCCCCGTTGGCAGTGGCTGCTGCTGGAAGATGAGCTCAGGAGTCAAGTCCACCTCAGTGGGGCTCACCATGACCTTAGCAGCGGAGAGCAGGGCCGTCTTCCCCTTGTTGTAGTTCTCCAGCACCTGGGGACAGGTCGGGCAAGCTGGTGGCGGTGGTGGAGGGGTGACAATCATGTGGGGGTGGGGCAGCAGGCCAGGCCTCTCAAGCCAGAGCCTCGTGGGGTCGGCTGGGCCCCGCTCCTGCCCCCATCCGGCCCAGGTCCCCGCTCCACCAGGAAGGCCTGGGCCTGGCCCCACAATCACGCTAGGCACCACAGCTGGCGTTCTCCTTCACTACGGTCACCCTTCTGTAGCCAGGTGATAGCGGAGGGCACCCCTGCTCAGCTGTGCGTGTGTTAGGCCAGGTCCCTGGGAGTCTCCCCGACCCCTTCCCACCACAGGGCCTACACAGCCATGGGGACAGCAGGGGTGCAGGGACCAGAGGATGAGTTCTGGCCCGCTTCTCTGAGCATCTGCATTCTTGCCTGTCGTTCCGGGATGGCCCAGGTGCTCTGAGCCGCAGAGCACGGCGGGGCTCTGAGGAGGCGTCACTGCCCAGGCTGCCCGGGGGCTCACCTTGTTGAGCCCCTCCATGACCACATAGGGGAGGTGCTCGTGCAGCATGGCCGGCGAGATGATCACTTCATTGAAGGCTTTGTTGTCGCCCCAGATGGCAAAGTATGTGGGCTCCTCCTGCTCACAGCAGCTGGGGGGGGGCACAGGGGCCAGAGAGAGGCTGAGAGTGGGTGGCAGCCTGGCTTCGGCCCCCAGGTCCCTGGGCTCCCTGTTCGGCCTCACCAGGACCTCAGCCACAGTCCCTACATAGCCTACCACCTGCTGGAGGCCTGGGCCACACCTGCCCCGCCCTGGGCAAGGCCTGGCTCACAAGCCTTCAGCACTGGGAGGGAGGAGTCAGGCCCCGCCCACTGCAGGAGCAGAAAGAGGGAGAAGCCTGCTAGGGCTGGCCCATTCCCCTCTCCCCTCTCATCCCCACCCCTGCTCACGAGTGCTGTCAACTAACCCCAGAGGGGATGGCACATAACCGAGGTGGGAGCTGGCTGGGGCCTCAGGGTGACCTCCCCAAGGGCATCAGCTTTTACATGGGCCATAAGTGGGGAGAACTGCCCTGGGGGACACCAGGAGATGGCGGAGGGCACTGCGGACAAAGGGTGGGACCCTGCTCTGGATGGGTCTTTTGTTTCACCTGCAGAGCCCAAGGATAGCGCAATGCAGGCCAAGAGCGTCCTGGGCCATCATCGCCCGCCTCTGCCCCCAGTCCCCGAGGGGTGGGGGGGTCACTAAGCAAGGCCAGCTCTGTCCCCCATGCCCCTGGCCAGGGTCACAAGCAGCACCTACCAGCACTGCTCTGCTGGGTGGTTGTGGACCACGTGGATGATACGGCCAGGAGGGTAGAGAGGGGTGCTGGCAGACAGGGCGATGGTCAGGTCGCTGGGGTGGGTCCAGAGCCGTGTGCTGGCGAGGGTGGCCACCTCGATCTCCTCAGGCAGCTCTGACTTGGGGATGCATTTGGTGGCCCCCACGATAATTCGCCACTGTGTGGGGCAGGGTTGGGGGAGACAGAGAAAGAGTTGAGCAGGGCTGGCTGGTGGGCAGCGGCAGGAGGGGCCTCAAAAGGGGGCTCAGAGGTGACCAGGGGGAGCCAGGATGGCCATGGGGCAGAGGGAAGAACAGTGCCCACCTGCGGAGGCAGTGGCCGAGGCACACGGTGGCCACGATGGCCAGAAAGATGCCAAGGACAGATGATGGGACAGTGTTGAACTTCAGGGCTAGAAAGGGGCTGGAAGACCAGTCACCTCTTCATCTAGAGGACGGGGAAACAGCCCAGCAAAGGAAGGGACTCATTCTAGGTCATGCACTGAGTCAGAGACAGAGCAGACCCCAAGTTCATTCCGGCTGCACCTACGAGGCCCGGCTGCATCTGGGGTGGCCTCCGGCCACCCACCTCCCAGCCCTGATGAGTGTGCAAGCCTGGGTCGGATAGGAGCAGCTCTGCCTCCCAGAACCAGGCTCCTCCAGGCACACCTGGCCCCCTACATTTCTGCTGCCCTGCCCACCCCTGCCACCAGGTGCCAGGCCCAGGGCGCTGCCTGCCAGAAGGTCATGGGCACCAAGGCTGGGAACAGTCCAAACTGGGCAGAGATGATGGGTGGGGTGGAGTCGGGGTCAGAGAGGACATGCTGCTCCAGGGCGGCCCCTTCCTGCCTGCTTCAGGGTACCTGGCCACAGCACCCACACCCGCCTGGGACACTGAGGCCATCTTGGCACAGGAAGAGCCCCAGTGTCCTCGAAGACCTGATGGGAGAGGAGGCGGGGCTGGGCCTGTCTCTAGCCCCAGCAGAGCCTCAGAACAAACCGCACCCAGACTCCCTCCGGCAGTGGCACCTGGACTCATGGAGCCTAGAGACCCACAGCAGGCCTAGCAGCGGCCTTTCCGTCATGAACTCGAAGCACTGAGCCTCGGGCCTGCTTTTTCCTGACTTTAGGCATCTCTGGGTGATGGGGTCGGGACTCAGGAGCCCTGGGTCCCAGTCCTGACAGCTTGTGTGAACAGAAGCAAGTCCCTTACCCACTCTGGGCCTCGATTGCTATCCTCTGTATGAGGATAGGCTGTGGGGGAGATGAGATGAGTTTGGAGGTGCTGAGAGTTTGATGGGCTGGGGTTCCCATGACACCAGCCACATGCGGCCTGGCCTCACATGGCTGGGCCCTCTTGTGCTTTGTGCCAAGGGACAGGCAGGTGCCCAGGTCCAGCATGCCCGAGCAGGGTAGGGGGACGGGGGCGGGGGCTCACTTTGGGCTTAGTGCTTCTCTGTAGGACGTCTAGGAGCTGTCTGCGGAAGCCTTCCAGCTGGGAGAGGCCGATCCTGGGGAAGGAAGCAGCCAGGTGTCAGCCTCGCTAGGCCAGGGACTGGGAGGGGTATGGGGTGTGGGGGCAGATAGGCAGGCACACGGCAGCCACAGAAGGGAGAAGACCACCCCGTTGGGATCATGGGGTGGGAGGGGTGGGCAGGGGGGAGTCCGCAGTTTAGCAGGGCCTAGCCATGTAAGGGAGGTCAGGCAGGGTGGGGCCACCTGTCCTCCCCCTCTGGGGGCTCTAGGGGCTCTGGGGTTCCCGGGGGAGATGGGAATCTGAGGGAAAGGCCCCGAGGAGGCAGGAACAGCTAGCCGGGACAGTGGTGAAAGGGAGTGACTTGTGACTTGCAACTCGCCTGGGGACAAGATCTTTGCCCAGAACCACAGCCGTCACGAATTCCTTGGAGTACTCCATGGCATCCTCGCTGCAAAGGAAGCCAGGGGTGCTGAGGCAGGGGCGGTGAGGGAGCCCTGCTCCAGCACTCCTAGGGTTAGTGTTGGGATTCACGGCCCTCTGGGGAGCTCCCAGGGGCCAGGCTGGGCTGCCTGTTCTCTGTCACAAAGCCAGTGAGGCTTTGCCGGGCACAGATCCTGGGGTCTGCCTGGCGTTTGACGGAGCACCCCTCCCTCCACTTACCAGGCCATTCCCAGGCCCCCATGTCACCAGAAGTCAGACTGCCCAGGCCAGCTCCCAAGTCTTTGGCCCCCATCAACCCCAGCCAGCTCCCAGGCCCCAGGCGGCTCACCTCAACAGGCCCCCTGGTGGGGAGTAGGCAAAGCACTTGAGGGTAGGGTACTGGGGGCGCAGCAGGAAGGAGAGGATGGCGGCAGTGCCCGCACCCAGGGAGTGGCCCACCACAATCAGGCCATAATGTTTGGTTCCTCGGCCCTGGAAACAGAGAGACAGGTGAGAGCCCCGCCCCACGGACGCTCTGGACTAGCTGCTACCAGGCGGGCAGAGGGGTCTTCCCAGAGTCCTGACATGGAATCTGTGCTGTGTGGTCCCTGGGGCAGGGGAAGAGCCAAACTAGACACGCTCAGAGCAACTTCTTGGGGAGACTCTTCGAATAAACTCCTATGCATCCTTTAAAACCTTGTTCGGCCTTCCTGATACCTTCCTGATTTTCTGGGAGAGGCTCACTCCCTCCTAGATGCTTGCATCTTTACACACGGAAGACCTTTATACATGGTGATTGTACTCTACTGTAATAGGGTACGTACTACAGAGATTATCCTCTAGAACAATCGTTGGTTCACCTGCCCCCATCTCTGTGCCCCAACAACTAGACTGGGGTCTCCTGAGGCCAGAGACTGCCTGGCTTTGGGAAGGGCGGCTGCCAGCACCATGGGGGCTGCCTGGCCAAGGAGCAGGCTGGGTCGAGGGTAGGATCCACATCATTCTACCCAGAGCAACACCCTTCCTATGGGCTCTGAAATTATTTCTCTTTGTTGCCTGCTCTGTATTTTGAAGCCCCTGCTCAGAACCATCTCTATCTCCAGTGCCCGGCATGGAGCGGGGGAGGGGGGGTCATACCTGGGTGGGGTGGGGCAGGGGAGCCCAAGAACTGCTGGTACAAGAGAGAGGAAGGGGTCACCAAGCGGTGAGGAGGGGGCTGGAAGCCAGGCATCCAAGGAGAGTGTAGGGGCCTGGCTTGTGGGGCATTGTGGGTGGCGGGGGGGAGGGGGCACCACCACGCACACACCCTGCCCCCAGCGTTGCCTTGGGGGCGGCAGCGCGGGCATGGCCAGGGCTCAGTGGCGGGGGAATGCCTCACCAGGTCTCGCCCAAAGGCCTGGGACAAGACCATCTCCTGCTCCAGCTTCTTCTTGATGTACTCAGCCGAGAGAACCATTCCCTGGGTAAGGAGGAACAGAGGTGGATGTCACAGGGAGGGAAAGCTTTTACGCCTTTTTTTTTTTTTTTGAAAGATTTATTTATTATTTATTTTGAGTGTGAGAGAAAGCGAGGGTGCGCACGCAGGGTGTAGGGGCAGAAGGAGAGGGAGAGAGAGTCTTAAGTAGACTCTGTGCCGAGCTTGGAGCTGGACATTGGGCTTGGCCTCACAACCCTGAGATCACGACCCTGAGCTGAAAACAGAATCAGATGCTTGGGGACACTTGGTGGCTCAGTCAGTTAAGCAACTGCCTTCAGTTCTCCCTCTACCCCTCCCCCTGCTCATATGCGTGCATACTCTCTCTCTCTCTCGCTCTCAAATAAATTTTTAAAAAGATTCTACTTATTTATTTTGCAGAAGGAGAGAGAGGGTGGGGAGTGCACAGGCAGGAAGAGCAGACGCCTCACTGATTAGGGAACCCGACAGGGGCTTCATCCCAGGAGCCTGAGATCATGACCCAAGCAGAAAGCAGACACAAAAATGACTGAGTCACCCAGGCGCCCCATAAAATAAATCTTAAGAAAAAAAAAAAGATTAAAAAAAGGGGGGTGCCTGGGTAGCTCAGTGAGTTAAAGCCTCTGCCTTCAGCTCGGGTCATGATCCCAGCTCGGGTCATGGGATCGAGCCCCGAATCGGGCTCTCTGCTCAGCGGGGAGCCTGCTTCCTCCTCTCTCTCTGCCTGCCTCTCTGCCTGCTTGTGATCTCTGTCTGTCAAATAAATAAACACAATCTTAAAAAAAAAAAAAGATTAAAAAAAATCAGAGGCTTAACCAACCACCCTACCTAGGCGCCCCAGGAGTGAAGCCTTTTAGGGACAGCAAAAATGGTGACTGGAAACTCACCAATCCTGTCCCAACCATTTCCCCTTTGGCCCTCCTAACAACCTGGCTGTGGGGGCTGGTGCACACTTTATCACATCATTTCCATTTCACAGATGACAAGACTGAGGCTCAGAAGAGTTGTGCGTCTCACAGAAACCAATCTTTTCCCGTCTGCCTCTTTAGGCTCTTCTGGGACAGGACCTGAGCCAGGCAGGACTGTGGGGATCCGGTGGGTGGGCCACAGTGGACCTTCTAGATGAATGCACACTCCTCTGACCCACCTCTCCCTGGGGGCCTAGCAAGCAGGGAGGACACCCACCCTGGCAGCAGGACAGGTGTGTGAGCTGGCAGGACAGGAGAGGAGGCAAGGGGCCTCCGGGGCCCGGAAGGGGGAGTACCTTGTGTCCCAGCCAGGTACCGTGGTGCCCCTCCACGGGGAGGCGCTCGGCGTCACCGGTCAGGTCCGTCAGGGCATCCTTGTGGACAGAGAGGACAGGCAAGGGCTGGGGTGAGGACAGGAAGAGGAAGGCGGGCAGCCCTCAGGGGCTGTGAGGGCTGGGCTGGGAGCCACAGGCAGCATACCTTGGGCGAAAGGGTTCCCCGGATACTGATCACCACCTTCTTCTTGTCATGGTCCACTGCCACATAGAAAGGGGTCTCATAGACCTAGGATAAGGGGGGCTCATGAGTCGAGGGGCCCTGGGATGGGCCCAGATTCAGAGAGTGACCTAAGCAGGCCTCCTGGCCAAGGAGCCAGCTCCTCTCTGGGCCCCCGCAAGGCTGCTGGGGCTCCCTCTAGGCTCCCCTCCAGCTCAGGCAGCCTGAGTGCTGCTGTCCTGCCTGCGGAGTCTGGAGGAACGGCTGCCCCCTTCCCAGGGCCTCGCTGCTGAGTCCCTGCATTCCTTCCCCTGACAGTTGGGCCGAGAAGCCCCGGGGCTGGGTCTGGGGTCAGGGATCACTGCCTGGCCCCCGAGGGTGTGAGGAGGGGAGGGGGTCCAGCCGCGCCCCCGCGGCCCGCCGAGGACAGAGGCCGGGGTGAGGGAGCGCTGCCCATAGGCCCGGCGTGGCTGCTCACCGCGTCGTGGCAGGAAGTGTACACGATGTCCACCGCGGTCATGTTCTCATCTAGGAAATGGCGCCGGATGGCAATGGCATTGCAGCCACAGCAATTGTCCTCCTCGATGGTGACTCCTGGGGCAAAGCGGGGCCGCGTGGGGCACAGGCAGCACCTGGCAAGGGGAGGCGGGCAGGGGGCTCAGAGACCCTGAGAGCAACTGTCCCAGTCAGCCTCTCCGGAACCTCCCTGGAGAAGTCCCACAGCCCTCACGGTACTCGGGCTCCTGGCGGCAGGGGACCCGGTGGGCCTCTCCCTCTCCCTGCAGTGCTCTCCCGCCTCACACCTGGACTGCTCCTCCCTCACTGCTGGGCCTCCCTGGCTCCTCCTCTGTCATAGCTATGCCCTCTGGGTAACCGAACCGCCTACCTGCTCCCGGCCTCCAGATGCTCCCTTCCCACCTTTCAGGGGCCCAGTACCCACCCCCCGGGCCCACCCCTGCGTGCTCCCAGAGTTCCCTGCGCCCTGCTGCTCATTGCCCAGCCCTGCCCTTGGAGCTGGCTTCAGGTCCCCTCCCCACTTCACGTCCCTCAGCCCGTGGGTCGGTCGACACATCGGCTCACTCTGTCTTCCAATGCAGAACAGGCTTCAGCCACTTTCCCCACGCCCACCCACTCCTTCACCATTATCTCTGCCTCGGAGCGTCATGGTGGCCGCCCCGGTCTCCCTCATGTACTCCTGGTCTCGACATTCTCAATCGGCAGCCGGGGCAACCCTCTAAGACGTAAGCCGAGCCATGTCGCTTCACTGGAAATCCTGCAGTGATGCCCTTCCTGCCCAGTGTGAGAGCTGGGGTCCTTGCAAGGATGCACAGACCAGATTGCACGACGGGACTTCTCACTTCCCTCGGGCCTCTGCTCACACGTATGTCACGGGGAGGTTCGCCCGGGACACCCCGTCCAGCACCACCAGCCCCCTGCCTGTGTTCCCCTGCCTGACACCACAACCTGTTTCTATTTCTCCCAAGTGTCCCTCTGCTCTTACAGGCCCTGTGTCCTTGTCTGTGTGCTGTCTGTACCTCCCCCCAGGCAGTGGGTCCCCAGGGCAGGGCCTACTCTGCCAGGGGTACAGCCACGTCCGGCACCGGGACCAGAGCAGGCCTCCCCCAAATGAACAGCGAGCTGAGCATCTGAGCGGGGGAACCCTGCTCGGGGTGCAGGTGCTCCTCAGGCCGCCAGAGGGAGCCAGTGGCCAACAGATGGGTCGCGGAGCCCCGAGCCAGAACTCAAGGCCTGGGTGGGCTTGCTGCCTTGAGAGGACAGCTGAGATTTTTAAGAAGAATCCTGAATTTCAGGGATGCCGAGAGCTTTGTCCTCACCTGAGCAGCACCTAAGGGACTGTTACCTACTTCCCAATGAGGAGGGGCCCCTCTGGGAAAACTCAGGGTTCAGCCGAGTCTGGGAAGCAACGGGGCCTGTAGCGGGTGACCACCGCAGGGCCCGTGGGGGGGGCCTCCACCGACTGCAGGGCTAAGTGGGGGCCGGCCTGGGGCTGAGGGCCAGATTCCTGCTCTCAGGCAACTGCCTCTTCTCTCAGCATGTGGCCGCCACCGTCCCGCCTTCAGGGACAGACACCTGAGCTCGAGGACCCGTCCTCTTGCTCCTCGCAGTCTTGAGAAGCTGACAGACCGCAGTGTCCCCCCACCCCTTGTCTGCAGATCCCCCGAGGGCCCTGCTTGCCCACGACTGCCTGGCTTCTGAAATACCCGCTAGGCAGGCGGAAAGGGCACCGCTTGCACAGACCACGTGCCCAGCCTGCCGGTAATGGAGCAGGGCCCGTCAGAGCCCGGGTCTCCAGACTCCTGGTCTGGTACTCATTTTGACATGCTTCTCAGTGGCAGCAGCAGCGACTCCCAAGAACGCTGCAAGGAACGCCAGCTGGGGGAGGGAGCACAGGGTGCCCGGGCCACTCCATCTGCAAGTCACTGGGGGGTGGGGAACACAAGGTCCCGAGAGCCACACAGCTTTCTGCAGAAAGGAAGGGCACCGCAGAGGGGTGTGGCTGCCCCAAGGGCAGGGGCGTCACAGACAGAACACCAGGCTTTCCAGACCAGGGAACCAGGGAGCTGTCCTCTTTCTGTCTGGGCCGGGCTGAGGGTGGAGACACCAAGGACGGGGAAGGGACCCTTCCGGAGCTTTGTCCTTCTCTGGCCCAGTTAGGAAAGACAGAGAGTCCTCCCAGCACCCAGAGGGGGGTGGTGGGCTGGTCTGGGACAGGTGCCTTGCCAAATCCCTGGGAAGAGGGTCAAAGTCTTTCACTCAAGGGCCTTCTCGATGCCCTTCCAGAGGCCTCCATGAACTGGGCCTGTACTAGGCATGTCCTTTATTTCAGCAAGCAGAGCACAGGACACCAGCTGGAAAGAAAGATACAGGTAGAGGGGAGTGGCGTGGTTGACGGGGGTAGAGGACGGGAGGGGAAGGGAGCTAGCACACCAGATGCTCTCCAATCCTCATTCCATCCTCTCAGAACAACTCCAGGACATACGTATCGCCATCCCCACTTTACAGACAAAGAAACTGAGTCTCGCAGAGGTAGACCAACTTGCCTCTGGCTGCAAATGACAAAATCTGGATTCAAACCAAACACTCTGTGATTCCAAAGCCCGTACTCTTCCCCGCCTAAGGATAATGCAGCAGTAGAGAGAGGATGAGGCCCAGAGGTGGCATGGAAGAGAAGCCACGGAAGCCACAGACCCTGGGGGGCTGGGCAGGCACAGTCTGTCCGGGGAGAGTCTCCCACATGCTGGCCCTCAGGACCTCAGGACCTCTGCTTGTCTGTACACGCTGGCCAGCCGGAAGCATGGGACGGGGGTACTCACGAGCAGGAGCGCGCCAGCTGGCAGAGCCCACAGGCAGGCTTCCGCATCAGGTACATGGGCCACCCGTAGGCGGCCAGTGCGAAAAGCATGTAGTAGCAGACCTCTTTGTAGCGGAGCATCTCTTGCTGGAAGAAAGGAGGCGGAGGCGGTCACTGTTGCCCTTCCAGCCTCCAGCCTCCAGGCCCAAAGGCTCCCCTGGATGGAGGAGGGAGCGGCCCTCCTGGCCTCCCCAGGGACTGCAGGCCCCCCACGCTCCCGCCTTGGAGGAAGGACCGCTCCCCTCAGATGATAATTGCATTTCCCTAATTATCTCCATGCAACCAGGGCACGGAACCTCCTGGGACCCGTCCTGCTGCTCCAACCTCAGAATTAACGATTTGGGGACAGAAAAACACTCGGAGCCCTGGATCGATTTCCAGAGAAGGGAAGTGAGAGGGAGGTGTGAGAGGGCATCACAGGCCTGGGAAGGAAAGTTTAACCCTGAGAGGCATTAAGCCCTCCAGCTGGGGGTGTCCAGGCCTTGAGCAGCAGGGCCAGCCTGGAGACGCCAGGTGACCTGACAAGCCATCAATACCCTCTCGGTCCACAAGTTCTTTGCAAATATGGGGAGACTCTTGTTTGATGGGGCAAGTCACAGGCTCCCCAGGGATGTATGGAGCAGACCGGGATCGCTGCAGAGAAAGGCGCCAGTTTGACACCCAGTGTCTGAGGCCAGTGGCTACTGTGATCAGCCTGATGGGCTGGAAGGAGATGGGAGGCACAGGTGTCCCAGCAAAGCGGCTTCCCGTGTCCCGGGTGTGCCAGACGCTGGAGGGCTCCTGCACTTAGGGGGAATTAGTCACCTTGTAAGTTAAAGAGGGTGATTAGTCATCTTCTGAAGTGAAGTAGGGAGCACCTTAATAAGGGCCCAGAGGGGCGGAACCATTGCCGGGCTAGCTCTATCTGCTCTTTAGGAATGATCTGGAGAAGGTAATTATCCTCTCTGGCTCCAGCTGGAGGGTGGGGCGCTGGCAGGCAGGGAGCCCAGCACCTCAAGGCTCCTCGGCCTGCCTCTGCCCCCTCCCCCTTCACATGGTGAGAGCGCCAGGGGTGCCAGGGGGAAGCGAGGCTGAGCTGGGCACCTGCTTTGGGTGCCGTGATCAGAGGGGATACACACACCCACTCTGGACAGTGGGGACAGATGGAGACTGGAGGTTTTTCTAGGCGATTTAGATACAAGGGAGGAATCCTTTCTGGTAGGTCCCCGACTGGGGAACCAGACTCGGAATGGTTCATTTCCTCCCCACTGGAGCTCTGGCTGGAAGGTGTGCCCAGCACCATTACCCATGCAGAAACATGCTCCGAGGGGACAGCGGAGGCCTTGCTCAAGGTCACAGTGACCGCAGCGGAGCGGAAGCCCCCTTAAATCGCTTTGCTTCTGAGGACGCCGGCTGCAGTTTCAGCCTGGGCAGCACAGTGCCCTTGTGGTGGGGAAGAGCTCCCCTGGCCACAGGACAGGCCCCACCTTGACCTGTGAACAGCGGGTTTCTAGTACAGATGCCTGAGAAAAGGTTCCACCGCTCAAAAGAGCTTGAAACCAGTGCGTTGTGTCGTGCTGCCTTCCAGGACAACAGCGGCTGCAACCGTCTGAGCAGCTCCCCGCCTCCCCCCACCCCGAGCCTCACAATCTCAAGAGGCCGGGGCTGGACATTCGGAGGGTGGTGAAGCCGATTCCAGGCTTTTGACTGTGGGACCAGCATGATGGGGGCGGTCCTCAGGAGGAAGGGGAGGCGAAGTGGTGGCACGGAGGGAGGCGATGGGGAGAGCTGCAGGGGGCCCCCATGCTGTGGGGTGGCCGGCAGGTGGTCTGCTCAGGCCGCCTCACAGAGGGAGGAGGAGCCGGGGCGGGGAGTGGGTACAGGGGGTCTGACTCACCGAGTTCTTGAGGTCGAGATACTTGGTGTTTCTAGTCACTGGCATCCCAGACAGGAAGGTCAAAATGTCATTATTCGCCTGTAAAACCAGGGTGTGAAGGTGGCTGTCCCAGGTCCAGGAGGCACGGCTGAGATAGGGGGTCCAGGCCCCCCCGGGCTCTGATTCTGTTGCTTCCTAAGGGCCTGAACACCCAAAGGAGGGTGTGGTTTCTAGCTCTTCCATGACCCAGCCATTGTCCCCAAATCCGAGGTCTCCTCACATGTCCAGTTGCTCCCTTTCCACTGAAAGCATCAAATACCCCCCCTACTACCCCGCGCCAGGGACCTTCCTGCCCAGGCTGAGGGTACTGCGCTTTGGCGAGGATGCTGGGAGACCCCAGTGGGGGTCAGGGTGCTGGGGTGGGGTACGGACGGAGGCAAGTGCGGAGGGTCGAGGCACCGAGCATCATTCACGAGGGCCCTGTGGTCAGAAGCCTCCGTGGCTGGCCCAGCAGCGAGAAGGCCCTCAAACCAGAGCCAGGAGGAGAGGGGGCATCAGGGGGTGACCAGAGGGACCCCAGGGAGCGGGCATAGCAGCAGTAGGGCAGCAGGGAGAGGCCCGGAGGAGGGAGGGCACTCACCTCGTCCAGCACGGCGTTGCGCTTGGCCCGCTGCCGCTGCCGGAGCAGCACCAGGCCGGCGATGATGTCAGATGGCACAATGTCGAGGTCTCGGAAAAACTCAGCAAAGAGGTAGGCGATTTCGGAATAGGCATCCTGTGAGGTCCGGTGGGGAGGGGGTGGGAGGTGGGGGCGGGGAGCAGGAGAGAGGGCAAGAGACCGGACGTGAATCCCACTGGGCTGGGGCTCTGCTCCAGGCTCAGTGCCAGCTCGCCCCAGGCACCTGCTCACCACCAGCTGGGCCCAATCCCGCCGGACCTTCTGCAACCGTGACCCCGAGGGCCCTAGCCTAGGCTCTGGGGCCCTGCAGACCTGGCCAGAGCTGTGTGCGACAGCCACCAAACTTCCACCTCCCGGCCCTCTTCTGTCCTCAGAGCTCCTATGGCACTCACCATCACCGCCTACCATGCACAGATGCCAACGTGAGCCATTTCCTGTTCTTTCCCCAGCCACTAGGAATCAAGGCCTGCTCGGCCCGGCTTGTTTCTCCTCCGCCTGTCTCTCTAGCAGAGAAGCCAAAACTGAGCTCCTGGCTGCCGCCTCCCCACACTGAGTTTCTTCCCACCTCCCACCAGCTGTGACCTTGAAAGGCCTCCTACGGGGCGGAGTCTCTGGGGTGGCAGTCCCCCTCCCCCACCTGCCCACAGTTTTAGGCTCGGGGACCCTCATGATGGGCCTGGAGAAGGCTGTGACACTGGGCTGGCTGCCCCTCTGGCCTCTCTGTAAACCTGGTCCTCGGGCCTGCCTGAGCCCTGGGCAGGAGGCAGGAGGCGTGCAGAGGCCACCATGCCCATCAGTGGGCCAGGCCTCCTCCCGGCCTCAGGAACCTCTTCCCTAGCTTGTTGGGGAAGGCTGTGATGGGTGCAGACTCATGGCCAGTGGTTCCCACTCTCAGGGTTTCACCTGTGAGTGCCTGGCCCTTGTAAGAGAACAAAACTCAGGGGTTGCAAACTCAAAGGCCTGATGAGGCCAGACAGTGCTAGCTACCACCGGGCTCCGCTAACCGCCCTGCGAGGGGCCTATATGGCTGCATCTACAAATACGGAACTGTACACGAAGGGCCTGATTTGTCACTTTGGCACTCAGTTCAGATTTTAAGCCACAGAGCACAGAGTGATCAAAACGTGCTCCACACTGCACCTGACCCCCAGCGCTTGATGGGACCCAGATCCTGGGCCACCCCTCCCTGCGGCACTCTGACATCAGCCCCAAGTCTGCCATGTGTCCAGGAGGGGTGGGTATGTTCCGCTAGACCACCACCCAGAGAGGCCCATAGGGGTGATCCCCGCCCACCAGGGAACCTCGGGGGAGAGGAGGACTTTCTTATACCTGATTACTCACTCTACAGTTCAGCAGGGGCTGCTGGAGGGAAGGAGCCACTCAGGCTTCCGGTGGCTTCCATGGAGGGCACTTGCTGTCTGGCTCAGGGAGGAGTGGTCTCCTGACCTCACTGGCTCTGCCACTAACTAGCTGTGGGACGCTGAGCAAGTCACACCACCTCTCTGGGCCTCAGCTGTCTGATCTGAAAAACGAGGGGCAGGGGGTGGGGGGGACACTAGATGGTCTCTAAGGGCCCTGCCAGTGTGCATGGGGTGTCTGCCTCGAGGACCCCAAGGGCCCTACCTCCCCCCAGGGGCCACCCTCCACTGAGCTGGCCTTTCTCCAGCAGCACTGGGCCCCTCCTTGCCCTCCTCTGAGCACCAGGTACGGAGGGCTGGCTGTGCACGTCTGGGGCTCAGCACCTGACCGCCCTAACGGGCCTTCCGGAGGCCTCTGCGGCTGGGAACACACTGCTTTTCTTTGCTTTCAGGTCACCCTGATTTTTTAGTATCTCCTCTCCTAAACTAAGTTCCAAGGGGGTGGATGAAAGGTCTTGAAACCTTTCCATCCCCTTGACCGAGCCAGGGAGTGGCTGTTCCCGTGCTGGAGGGAGTCGGTAGGCCAGTGAGTGCCAAGTCCCCCCCTTGCTCCTGCTTCAAGCTCAGCGCCCTTCTAGCAGCCCTGCCCCACCCAGCTCTGCCAAGGAGCCAGGGCTCCTAAGTGGCCGGCAGCAGGACGCCAGCCGGTGGGAGGCGACCCCCCCCGGTACTTACTGACTGTGAGTCCTTCGTCCGAGTGCAACAGAGGAACACTTTGAGCCGGCGTGACCAGCTGGTGGCCTGGCCCTCCTCTAAGCGGTGCCTGCAAGGGGAGAGAGCTGGTATGTGTGAGGTCAGGGGGCGGGGCCAAAAGGGCCACGACCCAGCTGTGACGGGAGCAGGGCGGCCTGGTCCCAGGATCCCACCAAAGGGCTCTCCAGCAGGGGGTCTAGGAGGGACTAGGCCCAGCCTGGCCAAGCTCCTCTGGGGGGACCCCTGCTGGCCTACAACACCATGTGGTTGGCCACGCTCCCAGCTTCTGGCCGGCTGAACACCAGCATGCCCCAGGGAGACTTCATAGGTGGGAGCCCAAACTGGGGACCACTCTGTGGCCCAAGTGTCCAATGCCTCAATCTAAAAGCCCTGGGACCCCGCAGCAGGGTGTTGGGCCTCCTGACCAAGTCACTGGAGCAGACCTGTCAGACAGACTTGCTTCCCCTTGGAAGGGATTTCAGATACACAACCCTCCCTGTATTGGGGGGAAGTTTAATGGGCACGTGAGGCTCTGCATCTCCCGACTCCTTGGATCTGTTACATGAGAGGGGACCAGGGCCCACACCTGTCATCTGCGTGGCTGACGCCTGTCCATTCCCACCCCCAGCCCCAATGTGTCTAGCTGCTCTGATGGGGGGTCGGGGTATCCAGGACACTGCAATGGAAGGCAGAGCAGCTGGCCAGTTAGCCTCAGAGGTCCTTCCAGGGCTGGGAGCCCAGAAGTTGGTGTGTTTGTTTGTTTTGTTTTTAAAGATTTTACTTACTTTTATTTGAGAGAGAGAGAACGCGCGCATACGTGAGCAGAGGCAGAGAGAGGAAGAGGGAGAAGCAGATTCCCTGCTGAGCAGGGAGCCTGATGCGGGGCTCGATCCCAGAACCTTGAGATCATGAACTGAGCTGAAGGCAGACGCTTAACGGACTGAGCCACCAGGTACCCTGAAGTCAGTGTGTTCTGAGCATAAATTTAGGAGACCCAACATCAAATATGTAAGCTTCCAGACTGAACAAGCTTTTGTGACATGTGCCCCTCCCCTCCCTCTGGTCCCTACTGATGCTGCTAATTGGTGGTCCAGAGGGGAAGGCATGGGTGGCCTCAAATGCATGCAAGGCACTTAGTATCCATCAGGAGTGACAGGCCAGGCCCTCCTTCCTGAGCCCTCTGGCTTCCCTCTGCAGCGAAGGGCTGCTTCCTTAAGGAAGTGGGTCACAAGGACAGGGAAGGCCACAGGGCTTTCCAGAGCTAGAGAAGGGGTTAGGACAGGGTACGAAGGGTACAAGGGAACTGGTGCTTCTGGGATCTACCAGTTCTCAGGGACTTGGGCAGTCTTATCATAAAGCGACATCCCCCTGCCAGGCGCTTGATGAAGGGAGAGCGAGCCAACAAGCCACAGGCTGGGATCCCAGAGCATCACATTCTTTAACCCTTTCTAATTAATCTAAGGGGCTTTTCAACATTCAAAGAGTATTTCCTGCTGGGGCTCTGGCTGAGGGCAGTGCCGACTGTAGGCTTTCCTGCATTCCCCCATACGCCCACCAGGAGGAAGATGGAGCCAGGGCCAGGTTTGGCCTGATGCATCAGTTAGGCTGCAGAGAACACTAGGCAGAGAGAGAGTGAATCTGAAGAGCAAGTTCATGGACCCAGCACCCCCGTGGGAGTGCAGACACCCCTGCAAAGATCCAAGGTCAAGGCTCCCAGTGAGCAGTGCTGGGAAGAACCCATCTCTCCACCCCTACCAGATTTCACGGAAAGGAGAGAAGGCCCAGGACTTAAACAGGTTCCTGACTTCCAGATGCTAAAATAATCTGTCAGTGCAGCACGGGTGGGGGCGTGCATCCGTCCCCAAACCTGGAAGTGGATGAAGGGCGGGCGGGCGTGAAAATGTCCTTGTTAGAAATACTGCTGGTTTCAGAGGGTCAGTGGAGGGCCCGTGGAGACCAGGCTGAGAGGTAGCCACATTAACCCAGCCGCAGCCTAGGCTGCCCTCCCAGGCCCCGCAGAGAGCTGGAGAAAATGCAACAGGTCATAGCCCGTGAGCTCTGAGGCCTCTTAGCCCCACACGGCCCGAAACCGCAGGAAAACTTTCTAATTAAAACAACAGCCCCCAGCTGCAAAGGCATTAGCTTCCCTGGCCCCAAAGGCAATTACCCAGAGTCAGGCAGGGGAGATTTTTTTTTTCCCAGGGCCCCAGAAGCCCAGAAACCAGGTCAGGTGGGGGCGTATGCTCAGAATGAGCAAAACGGGATGGGTGGTGATGGCCTGCTATGCTGGTTGGGAGAACGGGCTCTGGGGCCTTGGCTCCGAGACCTGGTATTTTGGGCTGGGAGGTGGCCAGCCCAGGCGCGGGTGTGGCTCTGGCTGCTTCGCTGAGCTGCCGTGGAGGGCCTGAGGGGAGCTCAAAGCAGAATTCCCACTGGGCCTGGGGGCCTGGGCAGCCCACCGAGGTCCCCCAAATCCCCTGTCCTGGGGATGGAGTGCCGGTCTGCTCCTCATCAGCATGACCTGCGGCAAGTGACCTGCCCTCCCCGGAACTCAGACTCCTCGTCCAGAGAATAGGCTTCCTAAAGGCACCAGGGTCGGCAAAAGTACTGAATGACTCGTGGCAGGGCCTAAGTCACAGGAGAAGCTCCGTGCCCCACCCATCTTTTTCTTTCACTAAACAGGAATTACTGTGACCCTGGATTCCCTCTCTCTTTTTCTTTACCATGGCACAGCATTCCCCTTTCTTCAAAACACTGTGCAAAACCTACCCCCTCCAGGAAGCCTTCCTTGATTAACCTTCTCCAGCCCCCTTAATCCCAGCGGCCACCCAGCCTAGTAGTTAGGAGCAAGGGCCCTAAAGCCAGACCGCCCGGGGTGGGGCCTAGAACCGCCGTTTCCCAGCGGGGTCACTGGGGCAAGTCACACAACTCCGTGTTCCTGCTCTGTGTTAAGGGGGTGATGCTAACAGCCCCCTCACAGAGCTGCTGTCAGTGAGGGTGCGTGCTGCTTGGCCTGGTTTAGGCCTGCTTCCTGCTACGATGACCGCCGGCGTTAGCAGCACCGAAGGTGGAGCCAATGGTCACAAGGGCCCCACTGGCCGAGCACGTACCAAATGGTGAGCACAGCACCAACCGCTTTGCACTCATTCAAATCTCACGGCAGCCGTCAGAAGCAGGAGCTGTTGTGACTCCCACTCTACAGACCAGGAAACTCAGGCTGGGAGAGGCTAAGACTGTAACACATGCGCATGGCTCCCGCAGGCCGGCATGCGGTCGGTCCTGCACGCGGTTCGGAAGGCACAGGGCCAGCCCAGCTGCCCCTCCGTGAACCTCCGCGGGGCTGCCCGCCCACCCCGCCTGCTCACCGGAGGTTGTAGGTCCGCAGGTTGCGCTGCCGCCTCTTGGTGGCTCTCAGCTTGACGAAGGTGCGGCCCGTGGGGTCGAAGACGCAGAGGACAGTGATGCAGACACTGAGGATGACCACCCAGTTGCAGACGACCATCCCTGTGGGGCAGCAGTGGGAAGCAAGAGGTTGGGTGCTGGGGGAGCCTCCCTGGCTCAGGGGCACTGTTGCCTCCCAATCAGTCTGCTTCTGGGGCCCAAGAGCGAGGCTCAGCAGCCCCCGGCCCTGGCCTCTGGCCACCTGATTGTCCCGTGCTGAGCCACGACCCCAAGGCCCACCCTCGGCACAGAGCAGACAGATCTAGGGGCTCCCGGTGAGGATCTGTGGGGCCCTCCCCTGCTGCCCACTCCTCATCCACTCCAGGTGCCCCTAACGGGGCAGGCCGGGCCTGGGAAGAAGCCCACAGCCTCAGCCACCACCCCGCCTGGCGTCTGTCTGGCAACCGCTTCCCTTGGGATGTGCCTGAGCTTCCCCCTCTCCCAGCCTGACCCCATCCCTCCCAGCCCTAGAGCCGGCTGACATACCGAGGGTGACATTCTTGGCAGTGAGGTCGTTGCACGAGGTGTAGTACTGAGTGAGCCAGACGATGCCCACGATGGCGTAGATGAACTCGATCACCAGGATGGCTGCAAGGAGAGCAGGGAGCAGGCTGGAGGACCCTCTAGTCGGCCTGCCCGGGAAGGACCCCTCTGCAGCAGGGGCACCAGACTCCCGCCCCCCAGCACAGGCCTCGCGGCAGAGAGGGCCCACGGAGCGTGGCTGTCCCACCACCAGTCTGTCCTTCTACAGCGTACCCACCACCTATTCTAGCTTAAGCACCCTCAGGCCCTGACGCCTCCCTGAGAGGGGACTGAAAAGGCGGAGGATGAAGAGGCATTTCGCTGCTCTTTTGGGATTTTAGACTTATGTCCATGAACTCTGGTATCAGATGTATCTTAGGCAAGTTACCTAATCTCCCTGGGCCTCCGCTTCCTCATCTGTAAAATGGGGCGACAACGTCTGCGTTACAGGATCGCGGAGAATGAGATGAGAGACGGTTCGTCTCATGGAGACTGCTATTTCCCAGAGGAGGCTCCGGCACTCAGGGCAGGAGGCGAGAGGAGCCCCAGCAGGCCAGGGGGGCCCCCAGGGGCACGAGCAGCCTTTGAGGCTCCAGCTTGGCAGGCAGCACCTGCGGCAGCTGAGGTCCAGGCTTTGGAGACAGACAACCTGGGTTCTAATCTCAGCTCGCGCCCTCTCTCAGTCTCTCTCTCTCTCTCTCTCTCTCTCTCTCACACACACACACACACACACGCATACGCACACTGGCCATGTGACCTTAAGGGCACTAATTAACCTCCCTGGGCCGGGGCGGGGGTGGCCCAGATTCCTCATCTGTAGAGGGAGACCAGTAATGGCTCCTCCCTCAGCTAACAAGGGGAAGGGCTTAGCACAGTTCCCGGAGGCAGGAGAGAAGTGTTCGCTAGGAAAGATGGGACTAGCAGCTGAACCCCAAGCCCAGAAAAAGGACACAGGCAGGCCCTCTAGGGAGTGGCTCCGGACCCCTGAAGGGTTTCCAGGGAAGCGGGGGGCACTCTTTGGTGGAGGCTTTCAAAGCAGTAGAAGAGAGGCACTTGGCCTAGAACAGGGGCCGACAACTTCCCCTGCAAGGGCCAGAGAAAATATTTTAGGCTTTGTGGGTCCTCATCTCTGTCCTGACTACTCAGCTCTGCGGCAGAACCAGTGAGTACGTCAATGAATGAGTGTGGCTGAGTGCCAACAAAACTTTATTTGCATAAACAGACGGCAGGCTGGATGTGGCCCTCGGGCTGCAGTCTGCCCTCCCCGGTCTAGAGCACAAGCCCAGTAAGTCTGCTGGCTCTCGGCTGGCCGCTGGTGCTGGCCCAGGCCTGGCCCATCGGGTGGGCCCCACAGATGCTGGCCAGCTGAGTGGAGCAGGAGAGGGGGGTGGAAGGGGGTGGGGAGCAGCCCCCACCCCCGGGGGCGGCCCTTACCCAGGCGCACGTAGAGCACATACTGCATGGACTCGCGGGGCTCTGTGTAGAGGATGCCCCCGCGCATGCTCAGCCAGATGATGGCCATCTCGGCGATCATGCAGCTCAGCAGGATGCCCAGGTAGCCGCGGCCGTGGTCCACCAGGTTCAGGGAGCAGGCCTCGTTCGGGTTGTAGACCAGGCCAAAGAGCACCACAGACAGGATCACAAACCTGGGGAGATGCACATGTGACAGGGGGCCAGGGAATCCAGGTGCCTTCCATGGCCCCTGGCCAGCGAGACACGCCAGGTGGAGGGGCTGCACTGCTTCGGGCTCAGGACCACCATCCACCTGGCCTCTGAGGACGCAGGTGACCAGGGACAGGGACGTGAGGGCAGGGAGCCCAGCTGCTGGCCGTGGGGGGACAGCGGCAGCAGCCCTGCCCGGTGATGGTGCCCGGTCCGGCAGGGAACCAGGCAGGGTCTCTGAGCTCCACGTGGGTATTTCCCTAAGCGATGGGTACTCCAGACACCAACTCCTAGGAGCTGGGAGCACGACAGGGTCAGGTCAGACAGCTAGAAAACCTTCCTCCAGGCCTGCGGCACGGCCCTAAGACTCACCAGGTGGTGTGCAAGAGGAAGAGGAAGATGGCCGGCAGGACGAGGTCATCACTGCCCACAGACCAGCGCCGCCGGAACACCACGATCCCGGGCATGGCTGGCAGCTCTGCAGAGGCTCAGCGGGCCTGGTGCTCACCTCCTGAAAGACAGCGGAGGGCCCTGTGGCTGCCGCTGGGGCACCTGGGGCCACTGCACTCCTGGCCGGGTGTGCCCAGCACAGAAGCATCTCTCCCAGGCCCCAGAGCCGATCTGCTTCCAGACCATTGCAAATGCTGAGCCATCCCCGGACAGGACCCACCTCCAACCCTATCCGCTGCTCAGAGCCACTGTAAAGGACCTCAGCAGACAGAGATGGGCTGCTGCCTCACCCGAGGGCTCTCTTGCCCCCAAGCCTGGCGCCGGCCCTTTGGGATTGGCTCTCCCGGGGGTTACTACAACAGTAACTACTCAGTTCCATTAAAGACTTGGGCTTACCCGGCTGCCTCCCCCTCCATGGGGTCAGGGGATCCCCCAGCTCCCCTGTTGCCTCTTCTCCAGGAGACCCGGCCCAGTGTGTGGAGCCTTGGGGGGTGTTGTGAGGGGGCTTTCCAGACCAAGCACCAGCCTGTCCCTCAGCACAAACTGAACAAGACAGGTTGAGAGCTGAAGAACTTGGGGAGGGTGGGGGGAAGGGTACACATGGATCTGGCAAGTACGGAGGCAGGAGGGCGCACCTAGCACATAGCAGGTGCTCGAGAAAGATGTGCTGAATGAGGTCTTCAGTTTCTTGCTTTGCTGGAGCCCTGGGACCATGCTCTGGCACTTGATCTCACACTCACCACACAGAATGCCCGGCCACAGCTATGCCTCTTGGTAGGGAGGGATACAGCCGGGACCCAGGGTCAGGGGCACAACTGGGGCTACCCAGCTCCTCTGCTGGAAGGGCAGTGAGTCCTGCAGGGTACCCTATCCTCCTGGGACCCACATATCCCGTGTCTACCCTGAGCCATGCACGCTTCGCTGCCCGGTTCAGAGCTCTCTGAAGCGGAATTCAAGTCAGCCACAGGCAAGCTCGGGGTGGACCGCCTAAGAGTCCAGGACCCCTATGCCCCACAGCCCTAGGAGCAAAGGGAGCACTGCAGGCCAGGAGGCTCCCCACACAGGGTGGGGTGGGAGGTGGTCCGGGAGATACTGGTGAGGGGCTCCAGGGCTGCCCTGTGCTGGACTGTGCAGAGGAACCCTTGCTGCGGGGGTGGGCGCCCCGCTACTAGACAGCTGCCCCCAGGCCCAGAGGCTTACATGGCACCTGGTCCAGAGGCGGGCGGCAAGTCCTCCTCTCCCCGGTGACGGCTCCGGGGAAAGCGACTGTCCTCAGAGACCAGCATCACTTGGGAAGCAAGTGACCAAGTATCCCCCGGCCGGTGGGCACGGCCCTCAGGTTGGATGAGGGGCCATTGGGCCGGGTGGCCAGCCGGCATGTCCAGGCCGGCCCGTCTCCGTCGCGCTCTCTCCGGCACGGCCACTTCAGCCAGCCGCTGCCAGGCTGCTCCCTGTGAGCTGGCGGGCGAGCTGGCGGGCGGGCTGGCGGGCTAGGCTGGCGGGGTCGTGCCTACTCCTCCCCCCCTCAGGAAGTGATGTCATCCCACTCTCTCCAAGGAGGAGTCAGAGCGCGGATTCTGGGAAGTGGGGAGAAGGATGAAGAGCCTGGAGCCGGAGCGCGTGGTGGAGTGGCCGGGCGGGGGCAGGGGTCTGGGGCTCCAGCAGGGTGCAACCCTGACAAGCGTCCCTGACCGGCGCTAGCGACCCCCAGATCGGAAGAGCCAGAACACTGTGCGGTGGCAGCCTGGCTGGGGCAGAGGCTGCCAACAGCTGGTGTTTCAGCCCCCGTTTCTCTACAGCCCCTCCCTGTCTCCAGGTGGCTCTGCTGAAAAATGCTGGGCTCAGGGGGCCCCCTCACGTGATGGAATGGGGCCAGGCCGAGGTCAGGCCAGCGGGGGTGGGGGGTGGGGGAGGTCCCAGCAGGTGCAGCTCTCCCAATCCCTTCTAAACCCCTAATCTGAAGGACCCTGCGGTGGTGGCTGGCGGAGGAAGGGGAGTGCCTTCCTGAGAGAGGCTGGGGGCTGGGGGCTGGAGGCTAAGTGTCCTGCCCAGAACATCTTGTCCACAATCCCCTGGATGGGCACCCACCCCTCTCCCCCCCCCCTCCCCGCCCCGCTTCACTTCTGGGAGTCCAGACTGGCTAATGCTCCTTTGCCCCACGCCTGCAAGCGCACACGGCCCCGCCCTCGCTGCTCCCTGGCGGGAAGGTGGGGAGTGCCTGGCTCCCAGCCCTGCAGACCCAGCTTGAGACGATCAAGACGCCCGAGAGATACAGCCAGTGGCAGCCTCTGACCAGGCTCAGAGGGGCGACCAGCCTGAGGCCAGCAGCCATGGTTAGCGCCAGTGCCCACCTGGATCATGTGACCCCAACGGGTGCCCCACTTCAGGCCTGGGCACCACACCCCGCTCCTCCAGCCCATCCCCGCAGCCAGCACACCACAGCAGAATCCCAGGCACAGGCCTGGGTGCCCACACTGCCTGGCTTCGAACCTGGGCCCCACCACCCGCTGGCCGTGGGACTTACGATCTGTGCCTCAGTTTCCTCATCTGTAAAATGTCACTCGACCCCGCCTGCTAAAGTTCCGGGGAGAACTGCAGGGGACACCGTCTGCAGAGGCCCCAGACGTGCTGGATGACGCCAGGGACGGCCCCATGGACCAGCCGCCCCTCCCCCACCTGGGCCAGTGGATGCTCCAGCTGGTTGACGACAGGTCACGGCTTCGTGCAATGGCGGTGACAGGGCCCATGCTGCTGGGAGAGGATGGGCCACTCCATTCCATGCGGACTCATCCATCTCAGGGCTGCTATTTTTAAGGGCCTGAAAGGCGCCCTTTCTCTGAGACCCCAGCCCTTCACAATGGGGGCCTGTTCCCCTGCTGGGATGTGATTTCATCTAGAGGAAATGTCTGGGGGGGGGCGGGCAGAGGCTACTTCCTGGTCTGGGGCTGCCACAAAGCACCTCCTTTGGCTCTCCTCCCTGGGGCACAGGGTCGACACCCCCTAACAAATGCATTTGTGGGGCACACGGCGTCCCCCCATCCGGGGGCACCTCCAGGGCAGGTGTGGTACCCCCTCCAGCAGGAGGGAACAGGGGCACCACTGGGGGCTCCCCATGTCCCCCAGCTAGACCCCAACTCAGGCAGGTCTGAATGGGGTACCAAGACCCCTCACGTGGATAGTTTGACTTGAGTGGCCCTTGGGGGTCCCCTTCTGCCCCCATCCACAAAGCCCTGTTTCCCTGCTGCTCGTTCAGGCCCCTAAGTTAAATGTTAGCCATTTGGGGAGTTCCTCTTTCTAAAGATACAAAAGTCTTTTTTAAAAAAAATGCACATGCTATCTCCTACTTTAAAAACCTCCCATGGCTCCCCATGCCTGCAGGATAAAGTCCAAGCCCCTCAGGCATTGGCTAAGGGTCTTAGTCTCTGGTTGGCAGGCTGTGCAACCCTGTGCGGGTGCCTGGCCCCCTCTGAGTCCTGGGCCAGAAAGATACTCTCCAACCCCTGGGGATTCGGGACACAGTTGGCTACAAGCACGTTGAACCCGCCTCCAGCCAGCCAGCTCCTTCCGGCCAGGGCAGCACTCTATCCCCCTCTCCTGTTGCCCCACCTTCCCTTCCCAGCTCCCCCCAGAACTTGTTGTCTCCCTGAAAACCCCTCACTGGAAGTTTCCACGCCTTGTGTACTCATCCTTCCAGGCCAGCCAAGTCATGGCCTCTTTGAAACTGTCCCTGACAGCACCCACCCCCAACCCCGCTCTTCTCAGGCAGAACAGGTTGCCCCTTATGGGACCCACAGACTGCTCATCCCAGGGTGGCCCTGGGCACAGTGCCGTAGAGTAACCTTGCTGATTCCTCAATGCCTATCCCCACTCCGGCTCCACCAGAGCCCCGACAGGCCTGGGTCTTGCAGCGCTGTCTGACTGTGCCCCTGGGGTTTGAACACAACTTAGTTCAAACCAGCCCTTCTCCTCCTGAGCCGCTGCAAGCCCCAAACCACCGCTCCATCCATGAAGCCACTGCAACAGCTCCCCTCCAGCCACAAGGGCCAGAGACCTCTTCCCACATATGCTTGGCTTTTTTGGGAAATGTCCCACCCCAGTGCCTCCCTGAGCACCACCTAACAGTCTGGGGCTTTGCTTTCTTGGTCTGCAAACCGGGGATGACACCACCCCTCAGAGGGCTATAGTGGGAACTGCCTGGAGTCACACAGTCTATCCGTGGGGCTGTCATCATCGAGCTCCTGGGGGGGTTCTCTGGGGACTTATTGGCAAGGTGTTCTGTGACTGGGGGCTGGGGTCTGGCCAGGTGCTGCTGATTCCCATGGCTGGCTCCAGCTGGTGGGAAGGGCTGGGCCGAACAGGTTTAAGCCTGGACAGGCTCACCTGCCCTCACCCCAAGCCTTGGGGGTTGGTTGGTTAAAGCACCCCAGGCTGGGCCTCACCCTCTGATCGTAAGGTCCCCTGGGGGGTGGCCCCGGGAATAGGTTTGGGCAGAAGAGCCCCTTCACAGGGGTACTAACCAGCAGGATGCCGAGAGCCCCCAGCTGAGGGAGGAGGGCACGGCTGCTGCATATACCCTGAGGATGGCCCAGGGCTGGTGGGAGATGGGAGCGGGGCCAGGTCACTGGAGCCAGGCTGAGCCCAGCCCCCACAGGAGACAGGATGCACAGTGCGGGTTGGAAGAAAGGGACAACCAGCAGGTCTGGGCCATGGGTCCCACCATCAGGTGAGTACCTCCTATGCCCTGAGTTCAGGACTAATGACCTTCCATCCTCACGGCCGGGAGGCAGGAAGACAGGGCCCTCAGTCCACAGGCTCTAAAAACAGACAGTGCCCGAGTGCTGGCTCTGGATTGACGGGCTATGTGACCTTAGACAAGTTACTTACCTCTCTGTGCCTCGGCTCCTCCTTTCTAAGACAGGCTAAGAACAGTACTTATCTCAGAACTGTCACCAGGTTAAACGAGCCATACGCTGAGGATAGCAGCGGTCACACAGGAAGTGGCCAGCCAGCGCTCCTC